ATTTTGATTCGCCGGATACAATCAATGCATTGATAAAATCATTTGTTTTAGGTAGTTGTCCCTTCATTGTTGGAAGCCCAATGGAAGTCAAAAGAAAAACCTAGCCACAATATATGTGTTTGCTTGGGAACTAGGAAGCACCCACATGCTGTGAGGGGATGCAAAAGGTAATGAGATTGTCCATCATTTTAATAGAGGAGAAAATACGTACACTCAAAGACACCCAAGGCTGCAGCAAAGAAAAAGGACAGTCACACAACCAAAGAATCACTCAAGACACCCAAGACTCATCCAGGACAAAGCCAGCATGTATTGGATATGGATGAAGTAGGAATATAGGCATATTCTTTATTCTAGATTATTCTTATGTAGGTTATATGTACATATGCAATTCTTTTGTGAAGGTTATACAAGATGAATGTAAATTCAGAAAACCCTAATATACCGGATGAGAAATAGACAAGTTTTCTTGTTCTTTCCTTTTATGTGAAAAACTCTTTATGGTATCACGAACCTCTATACCTAACAGTCCCTAGCTTCCCTGGGAAAAATCTGGCCAAGGAAAAAGAGTACCACACACCCCTACCCTAGATACAAGTAACTACTGCTCACTGCTATCAGACTCTAGAGTAGATAAAAGCCAAAATGGTGTTGATTCTTATGAGTAAAAAGACCTGCCTTCTTGCAAACCAAATTGAGCAAGAGAGTGTAACGCTCCATTTATCCTGTCGAGGTTGAAAGAGAACATCAGTGACACCCACCCGCACCAAAAGAACCCTACATCTTCAATTAGATTTCCATAGTTGCTCCAAGACTCACCACCACCAGAAACTAGTAACAGTGCTTGTTGCGAGTAAGAGGCTAGTTGAATATGATTAAACCACCGCGGGTAAGCCATGATCTGACGGGGTGGCCCTGCCATGGTGCAAGTGGCCCCACCGCCGCACAGGTGCCCCCCACATTGTTTTTCTTTATATTAAATGATATTAACATTGTATATTGTAGTGTGCTACATATTGACAGAAAAGTTTTTGTTGTGTATAGGTGGCTTTGTACTTATTTTATACAAAATTTAAATAATTATACTAATAAAAAAAAAAGAAACACGTGGAAAAAAGCGAATTATCAAACTTTAACTAATCAGCAGCAATATATATCCCCCAAAACGCTTTCTCCTCCCTTTCCTATCGTTCTTTAAAAAAAAAAAAAGGAGGCTTTCTCCTTTAAAAAAAAAAGTTTTTCTTCAACTCAAAATGAAACAAAAAAACTTAATACCTTCTTCTTTTTCTTAAACTCTTATTTTCTGGTAAGTAATCATCATCATCCATCAATTTTTCTTTAGTTCTTTTTTTTGTTTTCTCAATTCTTTGACAATTT